AATAACAAAAAATATGATACTGATACTAAATTATGTATCTACGCTGGGCTGACAATCCCATTCACCGACAGTCCGACTGTCCGGCCCTAGGATTGTCTGTCTGTCTGTCTGTCTGTCTGTCTGTCTAACTGTCGGACTGAAGTTTTATTTGAATAACTGGCGCTAGTTGGAAGGCAAACAGAAAGAAATTGTCATTGTTTTTGTTATTGTTATTGTTATTGTTATAGCTATAGTATTGGTGTGTGGCCAAGATTGCGGCGCACTCCTTTTCCCGCTATCTGTATCTGACACGCATTTCTTCAGACGCCACCGTGTCGTCGCTGCTGTTGATAAAGTGGGTGGCATTGAATGACATCGACGGCTCCAATAGTTGCCTCCCGATGTGAAAATCCATATCGAATATATTAGTAACATTAATATATTATTATTCTTAGAGAGAGCGCCACACTGAATGCTTTTTCTGCTTCGTAGTCTCTCTTCATTTGCGCACTTAGATAAGAGCTTTATTTTTTCGGTATGCCATTAAATGATAAAGGCACTCTTGGAGAGCAGAGAAGCAATCCCTTGTAACTATCGAAACTGGCCATGTGCTTTGCCTACTTTTACACTGCAAGTATTATACAGGTATACTCTCATATTTGAGGAACAATTTCAAATAGTATAAACATATAAATTTATTTATTTCATTCTGTTTAACAATTACAATTGTAATAATATTGTATATAATATTAAAATATTTATGGAGAATGTACATATATTTTTTATCCTTAGTTGATCTTTCAATCTGTTAATAATAATCTGTTGAATATAATCTGAATATAGTCAAATTCGCCTAAACACGAATTGGAAACAGTTCTTGTTCCACTATTCCACTTTTAATTAGCCAAGTAATGAGCAAGCACAGCTCAAACAATGAGATAATGTTGGAGCTCCCCAAGGCTTACGCCACTTTCACTACAGCTGCACGCGGCACACCCACAGAGACGCCGCTCAGATCGGAGCCACAACGCGCAGCCGAGTTATGTCAGCTGCAGTTGACCCACTTAAGACGAGGCACAGGAAGAAGCTTTTGATTGTTGGTCGTTGGCTGTTGGCTGTTGGCTATTGGCTGTGCACTCTCCCTTTTGTTTTGCGGCTGGGCATTTATCAAAACTCAAACTTCCGTTCAGTGTATGCGTGAAGTGAGAGACGGAGGAGGCCGCCAGAGCCGCTCCAGACGCCCCCGCCCATCAAACTGCACTGCTGCGTCTGGCAGGCGGCATATTTTTTGTTGACAAGTCAGAACCGGCTGTTTATGATGATTATTGCTGGTGCAGTCGAGTCATAAGATATATGCATCCATAAGATACGGCAGAACGGGAGAGAGGGGGAGGAGTCCCGCTATAAAGATCACCTTGCCAGTGGGCGATTACTTGAGCTGGCAGCAGTGTGAGTGCATAATTACATATTGTTTATTTCCTGTGACATGCAACGCGAATGCCGACGGCAAAGTCTAACTAGCCTACAACAAACAGAGAATATGTCTTACCTATGTATAACGAAAGACCCACTCACAGTCACACACACACACATCAAGACACATTGCAAAACGCATTTTATGTTATCTTCTTGTGAGGCTCGTGGCCCGTTGAATCGACCCAATGTGTGGTAACATCCGCTTAAATACCATAAAGACCCACAAATTCTATTGCGAAGTATATTTTGTATACCCTGAAGAGGGGTATTAACACAATCAGGACAAACTTGAAGCGGAAGCGGCTATTTTTGCTTCGTATTATTTTAAGTACAATTAAATATTTGAATTCAAGGCTATATCTCATATCTAAATACGCCAAATGTAGATCAGCTGGATTTATAGTCTATTTGCGCGATCAACAAGTTTCGGATAACAATTCACTTACTGTGAATCCCGCATAAATGCGTATATGTCAATATGTACATATATTACTATACATCAGTTTACTTGAAGTTTACTATATCGTTTATCAATTATCATCAAGATAACCGTGACTTAAATTATCGGACAAAGCGTCTCAGTCAGTGCGAAAATATGTGAGGAATTTACAAGTGAAGCACCTTTTGGGATACCCTTGGCGAGGCCCTTACAAATTTTGAGTTTGCTTTGAATGAATGCAATAATATCGATATTTATCGATCTTTGTATAACTGAGCATATCAATTAATACCTCCAAAACTGCAATCTTTAAACACTTTTACTAAAACTAATTTCACAAAGTTTAGTTATCAAGAGGCACGAATCGATTATTGTGATATATAATAAATAACTGTAGACTTGAGTGTTAATATATCACTTTCAGGAATTCGCTAAATACTTTTATCAAGCAAACATTGATATCTTAAATATGCTGTCTTTATGTTCAGAACTTGACTCAGTTAAGTGTTAATAATGTGTATCCAAATCATCAAATGATTTAAATTTTAAGTGTATTCGTCTTTCGACCCATCGAAACAAGCTACCAAAAATTTGGTACCACTTTTGATCTGAGTTTTTGGCAGAAGCGTACTGCACGAGAATCAAATCAATTAACGCGCTTGTCAAATAATTTGTTTTACCGTGGATTACTAAACCTAACAACGTTTATGTTTGGTGATAAAAGGCGCGCGAGCTCCGAGTAAAAAAAAGGTAAAATATAATAGAAGCAAAATAGAAGTCAAAATCCACAAAATGCTTTAAGCTCTGCCACACGCTAGCGCCAGCCCCAGCACCAGCGGCAGCGTTTCCAATTATCTCGTTTGGTAATGTAATGTAATTGAAACTGTTAATTTCCTGTCAGCGGCTTGTCAAAACGCATGTCTGGCAGGTCTGATGGGCACTTAGCGGATACAGCTAAGAATGCCCATAGATACCGCCAGGCACCAGACGATCCAAACTTTGACCATATCTATTTTAGCATACTGAGCGCATCGGTTCTATTTCGGGCTGGTCTTAAAAACCTATTTATTAGACTTTAGGTTTTTTTTTTTTGCAAATAGCCTCAAGCCAAAATGCCCGCTTAACTATGTCCAATGGGCTCGCACTCTATGGATTTGCGACTGTCCAAACTTTATCAGCTGCGTATTGCGGCTTCGGTCAGTGGGTGGCTAAGTTTGGACATGTGATTTCTGGATCTGCATAGGGTTTACGGTGCAACGCATCCAAAGCCTTGACGAAGATGGATGAGACAAGGAACCAGCAAGTGTGTTGCACACATTTCAATGTGTGTACATCTATCATTTCTTGTGATCCAAAGTGAATCACTTACCCGCCCCGATATGCTAAACAAGTGGAGTACTTTATTTCAAACTAAAGCTGACGAAGATTCATGAGTGGAACCTATTCAAAACAAGGGATTTGCCAAATAAATGATGTGCTACGCCCAGAAAATTGATCCATATTGCGTGTTGGCATAAGAAACAGTCAATAAGATTACAAGTAGAACGACCAATAAGTTGAACTAGTTCATTTGTAAATTTGGTAAGAACATATCTAGGCAGCTGATGATTAATGGGTTGTCAGCTGCAATATATCATTTTGATTAAATATTCGAAGAAAACAAATTGAGTCAGAGTTCAGATAACTTGTTCAATTAAATTATCCATTAATAAACATATCTTATATCCAATTTTATTATCATTTTCTATAACTCTAATACATATAAACTATACATATATCGATTAGCAGAATTAACGTTTCACCCTTATGTACGCCCTGTACACTGGTCTCTGGGCTACGCCATGACCATATAGTCCTCAAATGATTACAGCTTATCATGAGAGCCAGTAGAGCCAACACGAATTAGCGAGATCACCCGCTGAAAATACCAGAAGACTCTTAACGAAAGTTAGTAATTATCATAAAATAATAAACATAAGCGCCATAAAGTCACTAAAAATCAATTATAATATATATGCCATGGTGCAATGAACTATGAACCAGTTCAGTGCATAAAGTTCCGCCCTTGCTATACCATGTGTGCCGTAGAATTGCGTTAATATCTGAATCACAACTGCGCGCCCAGAAGCCACTGCTGTCACTTACACGACATGCTAACTCAATTAAAATTCCATTGCCGATAAATGAAGCGGCTGCTTGTAGAGCAAGGGTACATTCCCGGAACCATGCCAAAAACCAAAAAAAAAAAAAAAAATAAAGAAACAAAACAGAAAAGAATCAACAGAAATTGTTGCGGCTTGTAAAAGTACTCAAAGATACTAGCCGCCACTCACGCGCACAATTTGCAGTGCCAAAATTGTTATCAAATAGAATACTACAGAGCCGACATACCAACATACCATAGTGGCAACGACCTTGTCCAGGGCTCACTCAATGGATTGCACCGTCAACGGCACCGAAGCTGGCGGAGAATTCTTATGCAAGACACCGAGCTGCTTCGGACTTTGGACACATATTACTGTCTTGACGAGGCATAACTGGGACCATAATCGATCAACGAATATACTTTGATGTCCTCAACTGTCACAGGGCGGATTTGAGCCGCCTGCTGGCACTTGAGAAAAGCACTTCTGAGGTTGGTCGCAAGCCCTCGAGCTGATTGCCTCGAGCTGATAAACAAAAGGCATTTAATGGCACACAAATCGAATTATTCATTTCTTTTGAAAGGTGATTTGACGCCTTTTCACGTAATTACAGTTGGCCAAATCATATTTGATTACCCAGGAGGCATGCCATATTTGGAACTTTGCGCCATAAGTAAAATGAACTTTGATTCCTCCGATTCTGCAGTTGTAAACAAGCTGACCTACTAGACTTAATTGATTACAAATTTTAAGGGAATGAATTTGTAAACTCTGTCAGTGATACTGGTAATGTATTGTATAAGGATATCTATCTATCCGTTGCATACATTAAAATGTAGACTCTGTATCGGCACAGTGTGTAAGACCAGAGCAGAAGGGAAACTTCAAGCATGGTAAAGAAGTTGTTCCTTCGAAATATCTGTCAATTGGGATTTTGAAAACTATCTGAAATTTGCATAGGCATTTATTATACATAGAATAGGAAATCTAAAGGAGGAATTCAGAAGTTTAGATAGGTTTTAGTGCTGCTATCAAAATTCGATCTGTAGGCAACGAAGGCTCAGCTCAGTTTTCGTTAGACTTAATACAGCGCTCAGAAGGAACTCGAGGGATATTGTAAAGGAAATAGAGAAGTTGATGCAATCAATATGCGGCTGATGAAATGTTGTTGCTGCGTATCGCTACAATTCGGGACAATGCTATTTGGCTGCATTTTTGGGCTTATGGATTTTTATCTAGGATCACTTGGCGTCTATTATGTGACCCGTGATAAGATGCCACATGTGTTCGTTAAATTTTTTGATAAGATGGACGCACGGTACTGCGTGTTCTGGTTCTCAGTAATCTTTTACCTAATGGCCTTTAGCGATCTATTGCTGATTACTGGAGCAATGACAGTGAGTTGGACAAATCGCTTCAATCTTCTTACTAAAGGCATTCACCACAGAAAAACACTTCTTGCTTGGGACCCTGGCTTATAGTAAATTTTATTGTTCTAATTTGTACTATAGCTACGGCTCTGCTGAGTGCCATTGCGGTTTTAAGAATTGGTAAGCACGGTGATTGATTGTTGCTGTTATCGAACATTTATAGGATTTATTAAAATATTGATTCAACTAGAAATATTAGTTATCTATAGTTCCAGGAACTATTATTTAGTTAAAACTTTATTCTTGGTAACAGCAAATCTCTGTTCTCAGTGGCTGTTGATAATCCTACTTTTCACTTTCCACTGGAATCTTGATAAAAATAGCTAAATTTATGTATTATCATCTCGTAGGTATACTCATGTATGCCATGTTAGTGGTGAACTCCTTCTATGACGAGCTGACAAATTGATTGCATCAAATGCTGTGATTCTGAGCAAACAAATTCAAGGTATACATTTAATTGGAAGTGAGACGGTGTGATCCTCAACTTAGGAGCCCGGGACATAGGGTGCGAAAGAGAGGGACACAGAAGAAGGAGAAGACGAGATTGTGTAGGGAACCCGATTTTAGGCCGATGACAAAATGCTGCTACGCTTTTATAACAGGATTAAGCGATAATGAAACTGCACTGCTGCAAATGCCGTCAGAAGCTGCGCTTAAGACTCATTAAAAATCCATTAAACCCGATAATAATAAACGGCGCAAGAGGCAAGAAAAATAAAACAAAAATACGAAAAACAAAAACAACAAATACAATTTCGTTAATAAGCTTTACACCAAAGTGCTTTGCCTCAGAAATGGAGCATTTCGGAAAGGGGCAGCCACATTTATACATATACACATATATATGAATAAGTGCATATATGTAGCTCAGGCAACAGTCGGATGCCGGCCACTTAAAAGTCGCCTCATTTTGGGGCCCTGGTGAGTGCATTTCGATGTTGCATATGCAAATAAATCATTCCATTTCGAATCGAGGCGAAATGGAAACAAATCCCCAGCGCCTCTGCCACATGAGGTATGCAACTGTTCCACAGCTCAACTTTGAACTCAATTGTTGCACAATGGCCAAAACATTCGAAGTAAATATCCCTCGAGTGTTTGCACCCCAATGTCAATATATGTTATATTACTTAAGTGCATATTACATAAATAAAAACGCAATTACCTTACTCTTCTGAGCTAATTGCCAAATAGAAGTGCAAGAGAAGGGCTTGAGCACTGCACTGAAACCATTATTTGAATAAAGAGTGAATCCATTGCTCAAAGACTTCATATTAGTTATTAGCTTATTAGCTTGACATAATCTAGAATAGAACACAGAAGGACATTAATTCATATCAGAGCCCATCACTCACGCACTCTAAACTTCTCCGCATTGATCGGTCGTTCCATTCCCAGACTTTATTTACAAGACTTGAAGTATTTTGACTATTTCGCAATGCAGTCACAATTCGAAACATTTTTTGCAACGTTTCATAACTTTGCGCCTCTTTGTTTATCTCTTATTCATAATGCTTAGCCAGGCTGGGAGCAACTGAAGCATTTACTGCTTGTTCAAACAAAACACTTGTGAGTTTTTTTCGAATACGGATACACAAGAAATATGTGTGTGTGTGTGCTTGTGTGGACAAGCAGAGCTTAAACGGCTTGCACATATGGCTGGCCATAAAACGTATTTACCAGATACAGATACACTACTCACACTCACAGTCACTCACACTGAGTGCAACTACTGCTCAATTGCAATTGCCTGTTTGCCGGGTGAATGACACGCTGAGTGTGTTCATGAGCTGTGGAACAGGTGGTGGTGCGACGGTGCGAACGAGGACGTACTGTAACTCAAATAAGCCACACACTGTGTCAAACATTTATCAGTCGCTGCATCGATAAGGCGGCTATACAAAGTTGCCTCATGCAACAATCGGCAGAACGTTAGAGAGAGATAGCAAGTGCCGAGCCGCAATGAAGTTATCACGCAACTGCGACGGCAACGGCGACGCTGACAGCGACTGAGACTGCGGCTGCCTCTGCCTCTGCGGCTGTTGAATGTGTGTGCCGCCTCCTTCAACTTGAATACAAATCGTTTCAGTTTCACAACTTTGTTTAATGCACGGCATTAAATTCACTTTCCATTTATGAGCAGAAACGCTGCCACCGACGCCGCCTCAGATGCCGCCTCTGCCGCCTGCCGTGCGTTTTATAAGCTATGATCTGAGCTCCAGTTACCCTTTGGAGGAGAGTCCCAGTCCAGCGGTTTGATCCCTGCGCGATGCCAATTTCTAGGTAGACCGCAAAATTTATGTCGCGCCATTAAGAAATGTCTATAAAAATGTGAGCTTAATTAAAATACTGCGCAACATGCGTTTAAATATTGTTGCTGATTCTGATTCTGCTTGTGTTGCTGATGCTGCAGCTGCTGTCGCAGTTGCTGTTGCTGTCGCTGTTGCTGTTGCTGTTTCCATTCTGACTGCGAGTATCGCGGGCGGGCAATGTGCTTTTCAATTTGAGTCAAACGCCGCCGACATCGTCAGCCCAGCTGCACGCAAATTACTTGCATAACCCGTATTTATGGCCTAGGCAATAGTCCGCGCCTTTATCAGGCATCGCCCGTCGGCATCCTTTTTCAGCCTTTAACTTAATGATATTTTCCCAAAAGCAAAAATCATAATTTTCACGCGCAGCGAAGCGCACCAAATTGCCAAACAGGGGCGTTCCTCATGCCACAATTCGCTCAAGTTGTTTTTCTTTTCGTTTTCCATTTTCCCCCCGTTCAGCCTTTTTTCAACAGTTACTTAAACCCAGCCATCGATCGGCTAGAGAGCGGAGCTTACACCTAGTTGCAATATGCCAGTTGCATTTAACTATTTCGACGTGATCCAACTTCTTAAAAACAAATAATTGGGCTTGCAAACATCGGCATTAAATTTTGTGTTTGTCGTTGATTATTTGTGGACGCAAGTTCCGAAATGGAGAATTTTAAACATTTTACAAAGCGTGATATTCAGAATCTAAAGTCGAATTAATGGGAAAGGGCTGATAAAGTAAATTATTTTAACTCAAAAAAAGTCTGTTTTTATAAAGTTGGAAGCCCGTTGTGATGTCCAAATCAATGTTCAAAGGCTTATCTAATGAAACTGCAATATGCTCAAAGATCCATCAAATTCAGCTAACATAGTTGATAGCAGTTAGGCCTTGAGCTCAGGCAGCTTTGCTGACAGTCATTTAACAATCAAACTTCATCGTCTACATAAAGAGGATTCACAAAATCGTTTTGCGGTTTTGGTTGTTATCGGATGATTGACAAGAAAATCGCTCACTCTCACTTTTAACATCAACAAAAATGAGTTAAATGACAGCTATGAATCGCTGCTTAGCGCTGCTCGATGTAATTTATGGGTGGCCTAGCATATGGATTAAAAGCGAATTCAACTGATAAACTTCTCCACTTGCTCTTGGCAGCTGCACAAATTGCTTGGTAATCGCAGCGAAAATAGACTCTAAATTTATTTTTGGCAATAAATTAGCTACAAATATGTGATATGAGCTGTTTATGTCAATTGACATATTTTAAAAGAGGTCGAAACTCAGAGATATTGTGGAAATGTCGGAAAGCTAATATATTTAGCTTTCTAAGAACTGGAGCTGACCTACAGAGAGGCGAGCTCTATTGGATATGAATGAGAACTAATCAATAAGCTAACGTAACTATGACTAGCTTATCGTAACAAGAATATTTACTTTTACTTGAAACCATAAGATATTTAATAAATTTACCAATTTTCCTAGTGAACGGCATTGTCTGAAAAGGCTTTATTTTCCTCCTGCTTCCGCAAGGTATCGTAATCCACATGGACTATTCAAGCCCCATAATTAACTTTGAATTAATTACGTTTTGTTATTATATTTTAACTTTTACAATATTATATATATCTTATTATTGGTTTTATTGTATCGATAAGCTATAAGAAATATTGGAATTGTCTAATTATTTTGTAGCATACTTTTAGGGCAGAGAACAAGGTGTGTTTTATATTAATATTATTATCTAAACTTTTATCGGAATAAGTAAAACAAAAGTAGTGTTATACCTCCACTAAAATTATTTGCTAAATTACTCCAGTTACCCAATGCCCCGCCCATTCGCTTGTCTTTCATAAAAGTCTCGTTAATGCCACATCGCTCAAATTGAAGTACTCATTTTTCGCTGGCTTCTGGCCACGTTTATAGTGACTATAATGGTTATTACTGCCGTTTTGTTGATCAATTTCCTTGCCAGTTATTGTACAAGTATAAGAAAATATTCACAATACGCCATGTTGTCCCGCTTATGCAATTGCCGCGATTATATGCGATTGCCGCTGCTGTGCATCGAGCTGTGAATAATGTGGAGCAATAAACACACAAATCCAATACCGTTCAGCGCTTGTTACTATATTACATTTTCGCCACATTAAGCAGCGAGAGGGAGACCCACCCATCATCCTCTCATGTAGGCATAAGTTGATGACGAACTGCATAAATACACACACATGTATGTGGGTATGGTGTGTGTATCTAAATCGCGTATGTATCTGTATCTGTATCTGTATCTCAAGCTTGGGTGTGCATCTGCATATCGATTTCAGCTCGTCGTCCTGAAGCCCCAGTCTGTCTGTCGCATAAGGCAACTTAATTCGTTTCCGTTTTTTGGCAGGCTAACAACAAATATGAAACAAAAAAGCCACAGGGTTGCCAGCCTTTTGACATCTTCCTTGACTTCTATATGTTGTATAAGAACGAAACCGGTGGAGAGTAGTTTTTTTCTTTTTTTTTGTTTTTTTTTTCTTTTTTTTTTATGCCACAAGTCGCAAGTTGCGCGTCTTTCCGCTTCCGCTGTAGCGCATGGAGACATAGATTTAGACTTTTTGCTGCCTTTCTACCCGCTGGGCTATACAAATCTGTGCTAGATTGTTTGTCTTGGACTGGATTGGGTCGCCTCGCCCATGGCGCTTCTTCGTCGTCGCCATCAGCTCATTCTCCTTACGCATACATGTATACGTATTTTCTTTACAGACGTTTGTTGATTATTGCATTCGCGGCAGTTCAATGAACGCATTTGGTGCGCCATTTGCAGGCGGACGGGGCCCGCAACCCTATGAAGTGTTCTTCTGCTTTCTCAAATTTCGAATATTTGTAGCTACACGCATACACTCCTATGCACACACATATAAATTCATATGTATGTGTATGTGTATATGTATGTGTGTATATCCATAACTCGCGCGCACGCAAACATTTTGGCGCACATTTCCGCTAGAAAATTGCAAATGGAAATGCCAAAAGACCAAAAAAATGTTTAGAAAGGAGTGAGAAGCATGCCACATGCAACATAAAAGGGGAAGAGGCTGGCAGAGCAAGGGTTTCATGGAGAGTAACAACAAATGAAAAAGTATGGTATTAAAGTATAGGTGGGGCTGTGTAATAGCTAATGGTCTTACGAGTCACCCCAACGAAAATTTAATGAACGGTTTAGAATACAATGGAGTAAGAAAATATTACATTTTAAATATATATAACGATCAGCATGCCAGTATTATGTGTAAAGTATAACAGTAAACAAGTATAGTATATCAGTATATATATGTCGGAGATGATAGTATTATTCGAATATAATATCTTATCGATATATCGATTCATGCATATTATTGGCTGGTATTGATTGAGTGTGATGTTATTAGTTGGGAT